ATTTTTCATTTTTAGTTCGAGCAAACACTCACTCGACCAAATAGCCTACGGACTGCATCAATTCGAGTTCAAATCATTCACTCGACCAGGCCTACGGGCTATTTTTTATTTCGAGTTCGAGCTAACACTCACTCGACCAAATAGCCTACGGGCTGCATCAATTCGAATTCGAATCATTCACTTGACCAGGCCTACGGGCTATTTTTCATTTCAAGTTCGAGCAAACACTCACTCGACCAAATAGACTACGGGTTGCATCAATTCGAGTTCGAATCATTCACTCGACCAGGCCTACGGGCTATTTTTCATTTCGAGTTCGAACAAACACTCACTCGACCAAATAGCCTACGGGCTGCATCAAATCGAGTTCGAATCATTCACTCGACTAGGCCTACGGGCTATTTTTCATTTCGAGTTTGAGCAAACACTCACTCGACCAAATAGCCTACGGGCTGCATCAATTCGAGTTCGAATCATTCACTCGATCAGGCCTACAGGCTATTTTTTCATTTCGAGTTCGAGCAAACACTCACTCGACCAAATAGCCTACGAGCTGCATCAATTCGAGTTCGAATCATTCACTCGATCAGGCCTACGAGCTATTTTTTCATTTCGAGTTCGAGCAAACACTCACTCGACCAAATAGCCTACGGGCTGCATTAATTCGAGTTCGAATCATTCACTCGATCAGACCTATGGGCTATTTTTTCATTTCGAGTTCGAGCAAACACTCACTCGATCAAATAGCCTACGGGCTGCATCAATTCGAGTTTGAACCATTCACTCGATCGAGCCCACGGGCTATTTTTTATTTCGAGTTCGAGCAAACACTCACTCGACCAAATAGCCTACGAGCTGCATTAATTCAAGTTCGAATCATTCACTCGATCAAGCCTACGGTCTATTTTTTATTTCTAGTTCGAGCAAACACTCATTCGACCAAATAGCCTACGGGCTATATCAATTCGAGCACAAGCAACACTCACTCGACCGTCGAAAGCCTAAAGGGCTACATTGCCCCAAGTTTGAATAAACGCTCGCTCGGTTGCAGAGACCGCGAAGTTCAAGTTTGATTAAGTGGTTTAATATATAGAGATATGCCTATGCACAAAATGTATCTACATGGGTGGCTACAGCAAAAAAAAATATTTTAAACGGGAGCGGTCTCTTCTTTATCAGGTGCCCCCCCGATTCTCGGATCCACTTTTGCTCCCATCGTCATCGTCATCATCATCGGAAACCAGAGCTTCAGCATCAGCATCAGCTTCGAGTTCTTTTGCCCTTTTTATCTCTTCTGTGAGATCGAAGCCGCGAGCATGAATCTCCTCGAGAGTTTCTCTCCTGGATCGGTACTTAGCAAGTTCGGTGACCCAATGCGCCCGACCATTGGCGGATTCGACTGCCTTTCTTGCCTGAACTTGGGCAGCTTCAGCATCAACCCGATAGACGGCCACGAGCGCATCCGCATAAGTCTTTGCCGATTCAGCATCGGATTCGGCCTTGGCGAGTACTGAGGCCAACCGAGCCTCAAGCTCCTTAATTTTTCTTGCTTGAACCAGGCCTTTTCCCTCCATTTTTTGAATTTGGGTTTTAGACGATGATAACTGGGTTCGAGCAGTCTCTTTTTCTGCAGCAAAGCAGTCCATACCTTCCTTCCACCGCAAGGATTCCATCCTTATCACATCGACCTCCTCACGCAGCTTCCCTATCATCTCGATTTTTTGCTGCAGCTGTGAGATCGAAATGTTAGCTACCGTTCTGGTATCAAACCCATAGGCTTTCAAAAGCATCATTAACTGCTCAGACAAATCATTCTGGTCTCGATAAGCCTTGGCCAGCTCGGCTCGGAGATCTTTTATTTCCTCCTTTCTCTGCCCTAAGGAAAGTTTGAGAGAGTTCCTCTCATCGGTAGCACGTTTTAGGTCGGCCGTGTATCGATGCAGCTCATTCTAGGAATGAGAACATTGTTCTCGATGGACCGTCGCAACCTACGAAGGAACAAGAAGCGAAGTTAACGAAAGACGAACATAAAGGCAATACCAACAAAAAAAAAATTAAAACGGATCCTCTTCATCGTGATTTTTGACTCACCTGGTTCAAAGCCTGCCGCAAACCGTGAAAAAGATCTGATTCATCACCGGCACCGGCAACATCCTCGATACCAGTAAACAGGTCATGAAACGGATCCTCTTCATCATGAGGCCTACCTAGATCGAGGGCCCCCAGAGCTTGAGCTTCCCGAATCACCCCTGCGGAAAAAGCGGGAAAGGTAGGCGAGTCCTCGATCGCTGCTGCCCCAAGTGACTCGCTCGGAACATTCCCCTTGGCTTAGAGGGGTTCGAAGCGCTCCTCGATTGTGACCCCTGCCGGTTGATTCCGATGAGAGGCGTCTTCGACATCCGATAGTTCGGGGACTCCACCAAAACCTCTCTCCGGTATATTTTCAGTTCGAGATGGAGCCCCATAGGGCATCATCGATCCAGCCGGTGTTGAGGCATCGGTGGCTCTCTTCGTCTGGACCGCCAGCGTGGATTCATTATCCTCTTCCTCTTCTTCCTCACCCCTTAGGCATAAAACGGATTCTACGGTCAAAGGAATAACATTCTTGTTCGGCTTACGAGCCGTCCTCTTCTTCGGTTTTGGATATTCGGGCAACGAAGCTCTCTTCCTTTTATTTTCCTTCACCGGCTTTGGAACAAAGGTCGAGACATCCTCCTCATTAGATAGAGGTCTCAAGACCGCGTCCTTACCCAAACCTGCATATGGGAAACCTTATAAAAAATATCGAGAAATGCATCGTCAGAGTCCAAGAAATGAGCTTACCGTGATATTTGGCCTCCTACCGACCCGTAGACAAATCACGCCATGAGCGTTCGGCGTATGTGGAAGTCGAAACAAGATCCTGTACCCAATTCTTGAGGTCGGGAACCGCTCCGGGCATCTAGGGAACTGCTACATCACGAAAAGAGGAGTATCGATAAGAGAACAAATGAAAGAACAAAATAGAAGCAATAGCAAAATTACACTTACGTTTCAAATTTCACTCCTCGGGAAAGGGCATCTTTTCAGTCGGGATCAGGTCCGAAGTCCTTACTCGAACGAACCTGCTCATCCAACCCCGGTCCCTGTCCTCGTCAATACTCGAGAACAAAGACTTGGTAGCCCGACGCTGGAGTTTTATTAACCCTCCCCGAAAAAGTCGGGGACAATACAACCGGATAAGATGATCGAGGGTAAACGACATCCCCTCGATTTTGCTCACGAAATATCGGATCAGAATAACGATCCGCCACAAAGAAGGATGGACCTGGCCTAAGGTTACCTGATACTGTCGACAAAAGTCGATAACGACGGAATCGAGGGGACCCAAAGTGAAAGGGTAAGTATATACGTTCAAAAGCCCTTTCACGTGAGAAGTGATGTCTTCGTCAGGGGTAGGTATTATCACTTCTTTTTCCCCCCCAATTGCAGTCCTTCTTTAACAGATCGAGGTGCTTCTCAGTAATCGAACACATGTACCTCGATACCGGCTCACACCGGCCAGGGACCGATGAATCTTTATCAACTTTAAAATCTGAAGTAAGGACGCAGGCCTCGGGGACACACTCCTCTGGCCATGGCTCCGTCGGTGTCTCATCGGCGGCACAATGTGAAGATGAAGTTTTCTCTTTCTGAGGAACGGTTTGCGATGTTTTCGCCATTTTTTGAATTCAAAAATAAGGAGTAGAAGAAAATGATAGAGATTTGGTAGAATTGGGGGGTCTTTTCGGAAAGAAATCACAGCTTTCTTGGTAGGCTGGAGAGTATAAAGAAGAAATTGAGAAATTTTAGAAGATCCTAAAATGGTAAAAGATAAAGGTGAGAATTATTTATAGGTTCAAAGCAACGGTGGTTCGTTATCAGCAGTGGCCGACCGCCGCCTGACATGCATTAAATGCCTTGAAAGACTAAACTGACACGACAGCTATCATGTGTCATGGTCGAACTTGATGGAATCGACAAGATATAATCCGATCGAGCCGTTGAAAATCATATCGTTTCTCGCCATATTTCTTTCTGAGAAACGAGGGGACTATCTGTATACGGTCGAAACGAATTTCAGCCTTGGCATGTCCGGTACGGTTCGAAGGGTGGGGTATCGAAGTAAGATCCCGAAGGGGGGAACGAACTAACCTAGAGCCCGGAGAGGCCGGTCCGTGCTGAGATCGATATCATAATCAAACTCAAACAAGAGTCGAACCATGGCACGGGTAGATCTATCGTGCTGATAATCCAAAAACCAACCTACATCGACCTGGAATCCATCAGAGGGCTCGAACCAGGATCGGGCTCGAGCCAAGATCACGAGTTCGAGCCGCAGTCAAGCTCGAACCAAAATTGAGGATTCTAAGCAAGATCGAGCTCGCAGACAAAAGCCGTTATAATCCCACTAGAGGGAATCTTAGCAGAAATTATGGAAAAACTGATTTATCATGGGTCTCCCACTGAATGTTTATCTTATTATACTTGGAGCCAAACCCTTTTCACTATAAAAGGGCTTGTTTTATCATTCTTGAGAGGCATCTTTTTGGAGACGGAGACTATCAAAAACTGTATTATTTTCCTCTATAAGGAAGAGTGATCTTTCTAGTTTCTTAGATTGATTCTATTTTGTTAAATCCTAAATTCAATGTTCATAATTGATTCGCCTGGATTACGTTTTCTCTAACCTATATTCATCCTTTTAGCATTCTGTATTAAGTTGTACCACATATCTTCGCAACTGCGTATAAATTCAACTATATCCGTTTTTCCGGTAAACAATATAATACAACATCAATGGTTGTCCACAAAAACAATCAGAAGCAAAGATATACAAATCATGTCAGAATTTACCATCCTATCAATTTCCTCCATCATTGCTTCACTATGTTGCACAAACATTGGCACGGAAGAATAGCCAGCGGCCTTGTATTCTTCAGCATCGATTATAATGCAGTCTTCTGATCCATTTCTATTTGGTGCCACTAGGACTGGTGGCTTTGTTACCTAAGGAAATACAACAATATTAACAGCAGCTCAGTCATAAAATAGACCAAGATCGCATAAAAATGTACCTCGACTGCAGGTTGCTGCTGTTTGCTTGCGATTTGTGCAGCTAACTTCCTGAAATGTCAAGGACTCCACATTCACTTAAAGGGAATTTGAGATCAGGCGTAAACAAATGTTTTGGACACGAAATAGAGTCAAACCTTGTGATTGGACGATGAATCGGAACAGGAGGGAATTTGTTAGCAGCATTAGACTCAAGTAGAGCGACATAAAAAGGCCACATCAACTTTAAAAGTTAATAATTCTGGGCCTACAAATTATTATAGCTCAAAAATGTAATTATAGCTCGCATGAATGAAGATCAACAATGAAGAATGGAGAAGTTATGAACCTGAATGAAGGTCAACAATGAGCAAACAAGCAATCGCCGAGGAGAGAAATCGTCGTCGCCGAGGTTGTAGTCGTGAGTCGTAACTCGTGAATCCGACCGCCGCAGCAACCAAGCAAAGTCGTAAGGGTTTTTTGAAATTCTTGTCTGCCTCTAAGCGACTAAGCCTAAGGGTATGGGTTTAGGGAATTAGGGGTTTTGAACTTTTGGGGTGTGGGCTTAAGGTTACTGAGCTAAAAAATAAAAATAAAGTTGGGCTTGGACTAAACTATTTCGGTAATATCAAAAACCTAATACCGTATACCGTACCGAACTACTGAAATACCGTAATTTCTGTACCGAAATAAACTAAAATACTGAAAAAACCGAAACCGAAATACCAAATTAATTCGGTTCGATTCGAAATTCGATTTTTCGGATTTTATGCCCACCCCTAATTACTGCTCCTTCGCCTTATTAATCAATTCAATAGGAAAAGAGGAACTAACATTGAATGGCATGAAGGAGGCGAGCAATTTAGGCTTTTATACAATCGATTCGAGGAACTTGATTAAAGTTGATTACTTGCTTCTATGATCCAATCTTGTACTTTAGATTAAAACCACTCTAGATTTTATAATAAACATAAAATTTACTATAAAATTCCTGATAACTGTTAAAAAATTTTGAAGTTTTGAATTTAAAAATTGAGTTTTGCAAAATTAGTTTTTATTTAGATTGAGTGTTGCAAACGATTGGAGAAATCCTAGAGTTTATATATTAATTTTTGAGTAATTTGCTAAAAATTCGAGCTGATTTTGGTTGAAATTTAAGATTCAAACTAGAAAAGGAAGATATAATAAATTATATAAGTATGTATTTTTTATGCTTGAGTGTACAAATAATATACTATAAAATATATACAACTAATATAATTGTATGTAAGTTATATATGTTTGATGGAATTTTGTATAACAAAAAATATATAAAGATCATATATAAGTTGTATATTTTGGCAAATTCTGTATAAAAAAAAGTTATACTATATTATAAATTATATATTTTGATTGAATTTGTATTTAATTTATAAAACAGCTTTAGCTACTTTTTGAAAACTCAAAAACCTAGCTAAGGTGGGTAACTGTGTCTCGACCAGAAAAAATCCAAAAAGTGAATTTTAAAGCCTCAGCCCTCACGTTGAAAATGTCCACGAGAGTCCGCCAGCGCTGACTACTGAACCTGAAATGGCAGAAGTCTTGAAAAATATCTTCTTCCCAAACACCATTTTCAACCTAAACCCAACACCTATATAATATTCCGATCACCGGAGGACATCTCCGGCTGCCGGAACCCTACTCAATTTCCCAATCTTCACACAGTAATTCCCAAAACTGCCCGTCTGCGCAACTTTTCATTTTCCCATGGATTTGGCAGAGAATCAGGAGGAGATAGAAGGGAAGAGAAAGGAGGAGATTCGTGAGCCCACACGGTTGCGCAGATTATTGGGGATTCTTTTCTTTTTCTTTGCCTTCTTTTCACTCTCATTTTCGCTGCTTTATTTAGCTGTTTTTCTAGGGAACCTATCCATTTCCAGTCCAATTTCTCTTCCCTCTCAATGCAAGATTGTCTCTAGCAGTAAGTTGAATTACCTTTATTGCTGAATTTTGTTGGTATGCTTTTCTTTTAGAGTGTCAATTCCTTTTTTCTTGCAGAATTTTGTTTGTGGGTTTTTCTTTTGGAGGCTCGTTGGTTCTAAGAAATTGTGGTTATCTGAAAAGAAAGTTAAAAGTTTTTAGCATCATAGGGATAAAAATTTCCCTTTTGAGCTTGATTTGAGGGGTTTGTTTTTTGAGTATGTGTGCTTACTTACAAACTGTGGATCCCTGAAAGACTTAACAAATATTGGAGCTCAAATGGTTGAGTAGTCCTTGTTGCTGTGTTAGCTTCCTGTGGCTTGGATTTCCCCCTTTTTTTTTCTTTCTTTCCTCTCTGTGTGTGTGTATGTTTTACTGTTTTTGGTTGCTAAGAAACTTTTGTTGAGAAGATTGATGGAAATTTATAGAGATAGGAGGAAATGTTTCTACATAATATTCATTGATGTGGAGAAAGCTTATCATTGAGTGTCACTTAGTGGGTGCTAGAGAAGAAAAAAATTTGTATCCAATGTAAAAATGCCATAAAGGATATGTAAAGGAGTAGTCATAAGTGTGAAAGCAGTGGAAGGAAATATAGAAGAACTTTTCATAACTGTGGTTTACACCTAAGTTTTGCCTAAAAATGCCTTAGTTATGGATGAGCTAATCAATAATATACAAGATGGATTCCATGGTGCATGATGGTTTTTGCAGATGATTTCGTCTTAATTGATGAAATTGGCAACATAATAAACTAGAATCTCGAATTATAAAGAAGCATTTTTGAGAGCAAGGGTTGTAAGATAAGTAGAAGTAGTCCCATAAAGAATGAAATTAAATTGAGATAGATAAGATTGAAGTGTTTATATGCAGGCAATTCAGATATCTTGGTTCAATCTTTTAGGAGATTGGCATGATAGATGGAGATGCAACACATAAATTTAAGTTATGATGGTCGAAATGGAGGATGTCACAAGAGTTCAATGCATTAAAAAGATACTACCAAAGTGAAAGGCTCCCTATGGAATGTTTTTGAGACTAGCAAAGTTATATGGAAGTGAATGTCAGACCTTTAAGACCCAAAATATCCTCAAGACTAGCATTGTGAAAGTATGGATATTAACATGGATGAATACAAGAGTAAACAAGATTAGAAATTATTACTCTAGCAGATGGTACAAGTTGCACATACAAAGTATAGAATGAGATAAGGTCCCTGACATAGTTTTTTCATGTCTTATGTAAAATCTACTAATGCTTGGGCATAGGTGCAACACTATGAAGATTGAATGTGTTAAAAATAGATGGGATACATTGATATCCGAATGAAGGAAAGTTGTTTCAAAATAGATACAATTTTTTAAACTTATGTGGATTTAGCAATTAGCAGAGCACAATGAAAAAGGATCCATATAAATGACACCGACGATTCGAGATTACACTGGTAAGGTTTTTTGTTGTTGATAGACGTTCATTAGGTTGATGTTTGCTAGTGTTTGCCATTTTTTTTTTTGTCTGGTTAGAATTTAGAAATCTTTATAAGTGTAGGAATATGTGAGATTCAAGAATCCATAGTTTTAAAGAACCCCTAGTCAGTCAGTCTAAAAGACGAATTATTGAGTATTCGAATGAATGGTGTCCAAATAGAATGTAATGGATAAAGAGGACTCGAATAGCTGACCTTAACTTCTAAATGCGGCATACACTTGTGTTGTTGTTTGATTGCTAGGAAATTGTGGGTATCTAAAAACTTTGTCGAAAATATGGTTTAAATAGTTTGCTGACTCTTAAAGATGACGACAACTTGGAGAGAAAGGAAAATATGAGTTTTTGAAGGAAAACAAGCAGTACACTGAAGATAAGATCTGACAGCATATTTTGAATTTTTTTTTGGTGTAAACTAGAATTTGTATATGAAGAGGAGTCCTAATATTCTTATTTTCCTTGGATAAGTGAAGAGGAGTCCCTATTACAGTTCATAGAATCACTAGATAGATAGTCGGGGTTTCTCTTTTTTCGTTTTGGGAAGTAATCTGGATGCACAATCTTTGTGTGACGCTACACTTCTATAATACAATTACCATTTAAAAAAAGACGACGACAACTTTGGTGTAACACTACTAATACTTTGATTTAATGTTTTGTTCGGGTCAACCTTGCTGTGGTTAGCATCATATGGCTCAAAAACTTTCCTGGAACCAAACGAGTCAAATTATTAACTTGAGTTTGTATGTTCTTGATTCTGAGTAAAATTAGTTATTGGGAAATGCTAAAGGAAATTGGAAGTTATACTAGTACCATTTACTTGCGAAAAGGAAAGGTAGTAGTACCATTCCTTATGTATTTTTTGATTAATGTCTTTTAGGCCATTCTAAGAGTAGCATATTCTTTCAAAGTGATATGGTTGAGACTTTAGAGCAAAGTTTGTAGGAAAATTTATCCAGAGTCTTCTCTATCTTCTGCTGCTATGACAAGTTTCTGTCTCCCATTGCTAGTAATGTACATTGCTTTTTTTTCTTTTTCTTATGGGTTCTGAATATGTACAAAGTTTGATTTCATGTTTGTGTATTAATCATGGGTTCAAGAGGGAAAAGCATTTGGATACAAGGTACTTCGAGTATCTTAGTTCAACAATTGGCTGACACTTAATGGTTGGACTGGTGATTTCTAGCCTTCTAACTGGTGGAGGTTATGCAATATGTATGATGTGGTGTCATGAGACTGTGAAGTGGCTACCATGGTTTCTGTTGCATATGGCATTCGGACTGTTTCTTCTCAGGGAAAGAACACACGCCATTTATTAAAACTATAAGGAAGTATGATACGGGTCAGCATGTCTTTATTGGTCATTAGCTTTAACTTTAGTTATAATGGAGGAGTTTAACTTTGGTGCACTGACGGTGTAAACATTATTTGCAATCTTATAAGGTAATAGTAAATCTCTACAATAAACATTAATTAGTAGCCTGATAAAATTGTAACTAACCTGCTAAGCTACAGATGGTAAAAAAAAAAAAAAAAATTTACACTGTTAGTGCATATAACTTAAATCCAGAAAAGAATTAAATGAAACCTGCTTCAAATATGAGCATCTCATTATACAAGTTCCTTATAGAGGCTAGCACTTTTGTGACACCTCTCTCTCTCCATATAGAATTAACATACAGATAGATAGACTATACGAGTCCCATGGATGGCTAGCAATCCCATCCATAATCACCTCTAAGTAGGGATTATATCCTTCTTATTTTGACCAACATACCAAATGACCCCTATTGCATGTTGCAGCCGCAGCCTGGAAGCTTTTCCATAGGGTTTCCATGTAAGAGATGAATTTCCTCCTATTCTAACAACTTACTTCGACAAAACTAAAGGATTAATTTTCTCCATTGATGCCTAATTTGATTAAAGCATATTTAGCAGTAAATACACTAATGCATTCTTTTCTTGACGAAATACCCAAATGCATTAATTTTTATACTTCTTGCAACTATTTCTGTTAAATTGCTACAACTTTGTTACAAGGAAGAATGACAAAATGCCATATCCTTGTTGGCCAAAGGACAATGGTTTAAATCTCGGTTCTTTATCACCAATCAAAAAAATCTCAGTTCCTTATTGGGTACTGATTAACTGTCTTTCACCAAATTTTGATGTGATTCAGGTAATTCTCAGTTTAAGTTTCAATCGAAAGCAATTATTTTATGTTCTTTGCAGGTGTGGATCTTAGGTCATCTAAAGTCTGTGAACTGGGTTTATTGAATTATAAAGCAAAGCATGTTCTTTACCCTTCTGAAAGAAAGAAGTTTCGATGTCGTTATGATTACTATTGGGCTTCTGTATTTAAGGTAACTACCACTATTTGTTGTTCCTTGAGATATTATTTTCCAGTTATAGTTCTTTTGGTGTACATGTTGATAAATTCTTAGTATCTGATTATCCATTAATGCGGTTAAATTTCTTGAAATGGAACATTGTATACTTGTTGAATGAGTTGCATCTCCATGATAATTTTGTAATAAAATTCTGCTTTGACAAAAAAAGAGAAACTTCGTGTACGATTAACATGATATTATATATCTATTTCTTTTGGAAGGCTAATAATAAGTGGCTCTGTAACTTTTAGCTTTTAATAGAATTGGATTGTGTTTTTGTTACATGTAAGATTCTAATTTCACCCAATGTACCCCAACTTTCACTTTCTTTATATAAGTGGTGATGTTATTAGATTTCTTGACAATTATAATTTTCTTCCTTTTTCTGGATAAGTATTTATCCATTTCTTCCCTTCTCTGTGCCGTTCTCTCTCTTTTATTGGCATTCCATTAGTCAGCAGGACTTGATGCATTTGAAGCTAAAATTACCTGACAAAAATGAGTTGGAAAATTTTCAGCTGGGAGCTATCCATGAATCTCTTGGTTCTGACCTTTGTATGATTCCTTGCCATGAGATGAAGGCATTTGTTACAAAGCCTTTCTAATTCATTCTTACATGTTAATTTTGGAGAATGAACCAAATATGGATTACTTGTCGAAGTTGCTGCATCTTGTTATTTATTTATTTCACTTTTGTGGACCGTTTTGTTTTGTTCTAATTTTGGTATTCTTCTTCTTTTCTTGGGTGGGGTGGGGGGTGGGGATGGCAAGGAGCGATAGATACTTCCCTAGATATTGACTGTCCAGAATTGCTTGCTTATGCATTTCTGAAGAACAAAATACATTTTTACATGTTTATCCTGGAGAATGACTTATACAACAACAATAACAACTATGCCTCAATCGCAAACAAGTTGGGTCGGCTATATGAATCCGCTCATGTTAATTTCATGCCAATGGAGAATGACTTATCAAAAAAAAAAAGTTTATACTTAACCGAATATGGACTACTTTTGAAAGTTGCTGCATCTTGTCATTTTTATTCACTTTTCTTGAATNATACATGGATCATTCAGGTCAGGCACGACTTGCATTAGCAGAGGCACCTAATGAGGCCCTTCCATCTGATTGTAGACCAAACTTCTCTGCTGCATGGTTGACAAAGGATAAATTCAAGGTAGATACTGGACATAGATGCTCACTATTTGAGTAATAAGAGAAACAGACTTCTTAACATGAAATTTATCCCACTTAACCGTGATAACTTTTTTCTTATGCCTATTTACTCTGGGAGTGGTGGTCCTTACTCCTAAAGTTGATGACATGATTCCTTTCTCTATTAAATTTATATCTGGGGTGTTCCCTTCTGCAAGTGTATTCAACTCTGGCGGAATGATAACCTTAATTTTCACTTGTTACCTTTTAAATGAATTAAGTGTTGCATCCATGCATGCCCCCTATTTTCAGTTCTGAATATAGACCTGTCAAACAACTGGTTTTATAATATGTAAAGCAATGAATTCTAAAATTAGTGGCAGGAACTAGGAATTTTGAGCAGGGGTATTTATTTGAAAAGGAAAGCCATTAGTCAGCATGAACAATTTTTGTCTTTATTTCGATTTATATGTTTGTGCCAATTATTACATCAAAGAGTTTCTACTCAGTGATCTTAGATTGTTAGGAGGTTTTGTGTTCAGTTTGTTTATATATGCTTTCTTCTCACTGGGTAGATATCCGATGCATTATGTGAAGCATACAGTCCAATTAATGATCATTAGAAGAAGAATCACTTTGCTCCCGCTCGTTTTCCTTCAAAGCTTAGTATCTTCATGCTGTCATGCACTTCTTTTTTCAGGTAAACAAGACTTATGAGTGTTGGTACACATTGGGAATATCTAAAGTGCACATATATGAAGATGGCTTTTTTGATTGCCAAGCAAAAGATCCATCAACTATTGAGATGTTTATTCGCTATTTAATCTTGTGAGTATTATTACTTGAGCAAAATGTTCTTGTTCCTTCTTCTTTAATGTGTTCATGACGTGATTAAAATATTCACCCAAATGCTAATATAATCAAGTAATAGTTCTCAAAATTTCTGGAGTTTTGTCTGTTGCCTCCTGGATCTTCTTTCTTGATGTGGAATCTTCTTATTGTTATAATATAACTTGACATCGTTTGCTAATCTGCTTTTACGTTGTTCGCGCCACCCATACTGCTCCTTTTGAGGATCAAAACCTAATAATATCAAGCTAATTGGTTGAGTCTCTCCGATCTGCCCATCTTTCTAATGTAAATTGTGAGGTTTCCCGCTTGGTCTGCTAATAAGTGGTAAATATAATGCATATCCTGCTTCCCAGATATGATGTTATCTTCATAATTGCTTTCTGTCATTACTTATGCTGCATCGTTAGGTACTGGATACTCCCTCCTACTGCGCTCTAGTCTCTCCGGTCAGTAAAAGAAGTTTGGAAAATGTCAGCATGTGCCATTTCCTGAATCTTAGTCATGCTTCCTAACATTGTATACCTTTGTGTTTATTATACACAGTTCTTTTGGTATATAGGACTGGACATGATAGGATTTCCAATGTTAATGCCATTCAATCCTGTTCAATGTTTGTGTGTAACGTCTTCAAGATTTTTTAATATGGTCGGCTTATTGAACTATTTTCAATGCAAAAATTAGGAAAAAATAGTTTCAATCATTGAACTTATCAAGCAAAGTCATACGAACATTCAACATTCATCAAATTTGCCTAATTTGAAATTATACTGCGGTAACAAGATTAAAAAAGGAACTGGAATATGAACTTTAACAGGGGAAAAAAGGAAGGGAATGAGCAGAGGGACAAGGAGAGATCTGGATTGTAGATCAACAGAAAGGGAAATGGTCAACGAACCAATTGAACCATAAGTAGGTGGTGATCACGTGGTTTTGCAGCTCAATTGGAGGTGGAGAAAGGGAAAAAGATGAAATTGTAGCGCAACAAGAAGGAAAAGGGAACAGTGGGATCACAGTGAGAAGGGCATCGGGTTTGTCTGAGAAAAATGGACTTTGATCCGTCTACCAAACGGCCCTTTACGGAATCTCATCCATCATCAAGCACCTCCCCAAGCACCAAGTTATAAAATAGTCTTGCTTGCTACTTCAATTCTGTTGCCTTATTATTTATGCACTGTTCTTTTATTATCCGTTGTTTCAGCTTTGAAACTTGGGGATAATGGGCCCGTCCTTCTAACTTCTCTACTTAGATACTGAACTTGCTGCAATAGCTCGGTGTCGAACTCTTTGCATTTCCTGGATGAAATGGTTTCCTCGAACTCCTTTTTGAGATTAAACTTACCTTAGTTTGGGATTGAGGCACGGAACTGGTTTAGAGGTGACATTCTCTACACTGGTAATTTGAACTGAACATGAATAAGCTCAAAGTATGGAGTTAGCTTAGAAACAGTAACTCTGCATCTGACTTACCTGAAACTGGAATTTGATATATTAGCTTAGAAATTGGTCTCTGTTAGCTTGCTAAAGCTAACTATGCATCTGACATTACTTTAAATTGGTCAGGACTGAAATATTAGCTTATATATTCTAGTAGCCAGCCAAGAATAAATACGATTCCTTGAGTCCTGGTTGTCAGTTTGCTAGGAGTTACGGTTTCCATGTTTCTTTCTACACCCTATAGGTTTGTGAAAAATTAAGATCAAACAGTATGAAGGTCATACTCACTAACATTAATTGTTTTGGTTTCTATAGCCAGCCTGATTCATTTGTCTTAATTGGATATTATTGTGGCAGGTTCATGAGGATATTAAAGTCTTGGTATGTTAGTAGGGCTTCAGCCTGGCACTGGAGATGGGAAGCTGTAGCTGGAGTTATTGCTGGTTTCTGTACTTCCATGATATCAATAGTTTTTTTCACACTCTTACAAAGGTTGATTTCTCGCATCTATCAACTTTCTGTGACAAGAAGGCTTACTCTGTCTCTCAATAAAGTCCGGTTAAAGAGAGTTTGTTTCCTGCTAGCTTATGTGTCATTTACTAGTTGGTTGGCCGTTCAATATTTCAGAAGGATCGGCCTCCCTGAAATTGCAGTTCACTATATGTAGCACTCATTTTTGTAGAAGTGCAGGAGCAGGTCGATCGGCAGTTCAAAATGTAATATCCTTGTACCAGTAGACACAATTTTCACATAGTGTTCCTATCATATTGTTGTATTGTAATTCCTTGTGTACAGAACAAACTGCAGGAATAAATACTTGTAAAAAGTTATCCCCGAGCAATATATAGTGCACGCTTGAATGAAGCCAATACTGTAGTTCTCAGGTGACCCTATTCATCCTTGCCATTCGAGATTTTGCTCTTCAGAACCGATAAAACCTGAATCTGGTTGGTTACGGTGGGATCAGGTTAACTAGGAAGCTTGTAGCTTAGCTACCCACCTTGATGCCTTTTACTAGGAAGTATCAGCATATTCTTTTTTTTAATGACCGAGAAATCCATGCAGACCAATTGATTTATGGTTCGGAACTAGGTGGATAATGGGCCCGGTTCTCTACTCAAACACTAAGCTTTTGTTTGTGGGTTTGTGGCAGGATGACACGCGTCTTAACTCACATCACGTGTTGGGCTCTTACTAGTAGACCAAAGCCCTGGAGCATAAGTATAAGCATATTGTCAGTTGTGATACTTGTTAAAGTAATAGTTATGGCTGTACTGAATCGTTTTTTCTGTGCTAGAGCTTTGCATCTTTTGCTTCACCAAGTTTGCTGTTCATTGAATTCTACAGGCCCCTAGATTTTCTTTGGCTTTTTATTGATTCTGCCTGGTTTAGATGCTCAAACAAGATAGAACAGTAACTTTAATTCTGTTATTCAAGTGATTGCACTAGCCATATTCTGGTTGCTATTTGGTTTGTTCTTCCACAGCGTTGCTGCAATTCCTGAAGAACATTCCCTTTCACGAAAGATAGAGGAGCGACTCCGGAGAGAGACATCTAACAACTTCCCTTCTGGGCTAGGAGTGAAATGCCCTCGATCGACTCGGGGCTAAAAGCCCTAATGAAGAAAAAGAATTGTCCTAAGATTGCCTACTTAATCCGGTACTTTCTTCTTCCCCAAAAACAGGCGTACTAATACTAATGCAGAGACGCTAATGTATTTATTTAATTTACTAATACTATAGAGTTAGACAACATCATCAATTAGGAGGAAAGAAGGATAATTAGTGATTTTATTGTTAAAAGAAAGAAAGAACATGAAATACTGATAGAAAATTCAATTTTCAAAAGATACAGTAGCAGAAAAGAAGGAAATAAAGAAAACATTTTAAAGCTCCACAATAGATAGGCGTCCTACAATGTACTCACAAAATGTTCAAGTTCATCGCAATCTAGATTTCTGTCACTTTAAATGTTCTTACCACTTGATATTTGGAATACAAACTAAAAACATGAAATAATATTCAGTTGAATAACGGTCTCCAGCAACCCGATAGAACTTCCTTAGAAAGCACATTTGGAATTGGAGCTGTTAAAAAACAACACTCGTAACCTTGGCAGTAGAGGTGGAAGAATCTAATCTAAAACTTTCCAGATTCTGAAATGATCCTCTCAATTTCTCCAAGAAGGCGCTCTTTTTCTTTGACCAAGTCCTCGTTCTGCTTCTGCAGCTCTTCAATTTGCGTAGTCTGTTCAGAATCCTTTCTGTCATTAGAAAACTCTGATTATCAAAGATTGCTTTCATTGCATAGTACTAATAATGCTAAGATGATGTAAAAATCCAACAAAACTACATCTTTGATTAGACAACAGCAAAAAAATGCATTCAAGCAGGATCTCATTGTACTTCATTTCTAGGTACACTACTGAGCTCATTTCCTGTTTGCTTCTTTTTTGCCACATACTTATGGAGTCGGGGATTTTATTAAACCACCTAAGATAACAAGCCTGAGACATGGGCTTTGAGTTGAGAAACTTCTGCATATTTACAGAAGAAAATTGTTTCCAATTGGTAAAACCAGTGGAGTGGTTATACCAGTCAACCTTTCATGGTTCAAATCTGATGCATGATAAACCTCATGACATGCTCAATTGTTACCTGGTTTCCACAACAAATGGAAAGTATGCAAAAAGTTAATACTAAAACTAGGATGATCGCTTTTCGCTCCCTTCCAACTTCAAAAACTTGGTTTTGAAATCATACAGTGTAACTAACTGACTTATCAATGGAGAAAGCATTAGTTTCCTATTCCAGGTCTATAGTATCGAGTGATCCTTGCATGTTTGCAAAATCACAGCAATCTCGAAATTGTTTCACGTAATTGATAGCTTATATTAAACATGCTTGGAAACATGGATAGATATTATCAGTAAGTGAAATTTGTTTCTTCCACAAAACAGAAGTTGAACCACAAAATTTTGCAGCTTTATGTTTGAACGTACCTATTCATAAACGCCAAATTAAGTTTAAGTGAACGGACTTCCTTCTCCAGATTCTCACAGCGCTTCAAAAGGGATTGCATATCTGAAGGAATTGCTGGTGTTAAATTTCTCTCTTTGGCTTCTGCCATTCTGCATCAACATCGAGACCAATATGAGGGTAGCAAGTAGTTTTCAAGCATATGAATAGACCATCAAGTTATAGCATCAGAATAATGTGCATAACCTTTGCAACGAAAAGCATGCATGCATGTGTTGTTTTCCATTTAGATTATAAGCAATAATATCACCTAGTCGAGGCCTTACAGAACATCAAAGTTTAAATGATCTCCTATACTTTTCAAAAACTTATTTTGATTTCTGCTATCAAATCATTACACAGGAAAATAAAGGGTGGAAGCCACATGCGTAGGCAGAACACAATTAGTGTCTACATCCAATAGTTTTACCAACCAATAGAAAGACTAATGATCACTAAAATGATATGTAGTAAAATAAGATTCACACAAGTTCTGAGAATAGTTCTACATACTTCCGAGACCGCTCCACCCTTCGCTTCTTTGTAGGATCTCCATTTTCCGCTGCATTGGTTGATGCTGGTTAGAAGCGAACGGCATGAAAAGCAATTAAGTAACAGCATGCATTTCATGTAATATAACATCTGTGTACGATTAAGCCATAATTTTTTTATCTAATAGAATTGCAGAGAAAACTTTGGAGCATAAACCTCAACATAAAAAGAGCAGCCCGGTGCACAAGGCATTCCGCGTTCACGCAAGGGGTTTGAAAATAGATTACTAGCACTGTTGGGCTACTCAAGATATTAACAAGAATCTGAGTTGACACTGCACCTCAATTTTTCCATTAAATAAGACAGTTTCTGTCTCGTGGTAAGCATGGACCTTTCCCAGAGCAAGAAAGAACCATTAGAGGAATACCTTCTGAAGATGAACAGAACTCTCATGAGAAAGTGCCTTTGGTGCCTAAAACTCTTTATCATATGCCCATAAGTGGGCCAACCATTACAAGTGTTGCAAATCACATTTTACTTGTAAGCTCTCTTAAAGCCTTTTAGCACCAAGAAGTATTTTAAAAAATTATTCTTACTGTATTTTTCCAGTTTCACTCCTTTGATTGCATGATTCCTTTAATATGAGCCAATTTTGGCAGTATTGCAGTGCCGACCTGTTAAATATATTCTGTAAGTTCTTCGGATATGCTCCTTGCTTTGTTGCTTTCACCTAACAAGTGATCTAACCTAAACTACTTTGTAATTTCAGGATAGGAATACTTAATACGAACCTGACAGGGGGATAGGGAGAGAGAGAGTCAGCAAGAATGCAATAGGAAGCAATCGGCATGCCACCATGTTGTTTGAAGAAACATGATCAGCATTGTTACATTTATAATTTAAATAGATATGAAAGTGAAAATGCAAAGATGTGATATTTATCCACTGTAGTTAAATGCCTCAGTTACCTGACTGAACCGATGTCAAAGATCCATTTCGAACTAAACCTTCTTTCTGCGGTGTCTGAACAAATTGGAGAAATTATCATCAGCTAACCATCAAACTATTCTAAGTTGAATATTGGGTAATATTGTTTCCAATCCCAAGGACATAGGAGGTAGAGAATACCTTCTGGTTGTCCTTCACGTTATCATATATTCGTTCTCTAAGATCTGCACTTGAACAGTAAATGAATATGTTAACAAACCTATGCTCAAAAAGTTTGGAGAAACAACCATCTAAATAAGTGCACTATGCAAAATCCAGAGTTTCAGATGTATCATTTCTTAGTTTGAAAAAATAAGTATCATCTCTCAGTTTGAAGACATCCTTGCTTGCATGAATTCGCTAAGACGCGCACCATACAAATAGAGAACAGCACAGATAATTCAATACAGACAGCTGATGTACGTCATATTCACCTCTGGCAGTTGAACCATTTTCTAAGCTCCTTGCATATCCAACTTGATTTCTAGAGCCTTCGTACACATTTAAAGCATGACTTGCATTGCTTAGACCATCACATGCATCAAAACCGGTTGAAATTATTGGCGCAGCAACAGAGGATTCACTTTGGGAAGGTTCCTGTGACACCACGCACATCTGGATTGGGTTTGACTTTGAGGGAGCCATAATACCTTCTAAGACGACATCTAACGACCCCTGAACCATTTGTAGAATCCCTGTATCTCTGACTTGAACAATGGATGCATCCTGATACGTCCCTTGATTTTCAGAAATATGATTCCCTGGATGTTGATTCATGCCAAAGTTGTCTTGATTACCATAACACCCTAGCATATTCTCCTCAATGGCTTCCCTAGCAGTGTGAAAGTTTGTTAATTTCTTCCGCTCTAAAGTACCCTTTAGCATGCTTACGACAGATGAAATATTATCTGCACCATCCACTTGCTGAGTTTCAAAAGTAGATGAGGATGAATTTGATGGAGATATAAAAGTATCGGGTTGACTGGTAAGTTCACACATTGACATGTCAGTGAACACGGTGGGATCACAAACTTCTTTAAAGTTAACAGCATTTCCAGGTATATTATGCAGGGATTCACGAGCTAGAGAAGACTGCGAGTTTTGCATGGCTGCATACCTCCTCCTACAGAAATTTCATGCAACAACCAGGTATATTATCGCAAGAAATGATCAGCATCCAGCAATAACAATATGGAATACATTGATGGGGAAAAAGAGTCTCCAATAGTTTTTTAGTGATTTCTTGTACTTTGAAGTCTTCGTTTCAAATTAGATATAAACTCTAGGGAAATATTACTTTAATTAGGCTGGCCTCCAAAATAATAGCCGGCAAATGTATATGGTTTGTATATGTTGGCTAGCGCCTGTACTTAATTTCCCAAAAATCAAGAAAGCCCTAAACTCAATCTACATAGGAAAATATAAAATTCTTGAGGGCCTAATTCCAAGGATATATAGTGCTCCTTAGAGAAGAGCAAGCAAGGACATTATCTTCCAACCGCCATAAAGGATGCAATATGAAGGATACCTTAACTCAGACGAGCGACTTCTCGTCATGGGCTGAGAACTATGAAACCAAGTCTGCAAGAAAGCTCTGTATGAGGATCATAAGAGAAATTCTGTAAATTGATATCTGCAATTATTGAACAAACCTTGGCTAAAAAGAGATTACTAGCTTGCATTTCCGTATCTGTGATATTCCTGAAGACAAATAAAGCCAAAATTGGTTATTACCCCCAAAAAATTTCAGAATCACTAATAACATGAGAAAATTGCATGAAATATCTAGATTGGTTGAGCAATAACCTCAAGCCAGATAACCCACAAATAATGGGAAGTTGAAAACCAAATGAGTAAGCCTAAGGCAGCAATAAAAAAAATTGCAATAGCCCCAGAAAATGGACTTCTTTTTCTATTTTGGATTTTAATTTGGCATTTACTAACACAGATCTTAATTAAATCATACAGCCCTACAGGAGGAAAAGGTAGATCACCTGCTTGAATGTTGGTTAAGGCTGCTAGATGATTCATTGGCACTAGATGCATTATGTGGCTGCAGAGAGTCAGTCACTTTTCTTTTCTGAATTCCCGCATACTGCTGATTTGATAGACCAGCAAGTTCACCTGAGATCCTGCATTTTAAAACTAAAGAATGTAACCACTTCTGAAATCATCAAAATTTGTTCAAGCTACAGACATTTAGAATAGTCATAAAAGCTGAAAAAATAATATAACTTTTCAATGGCATAAGTTATCATATCCACTTCCACGTCGAATTGGACTTGCAAGTTAGAGTGATAAGTGAAAAATAAATCATAGCTATAGTGAGAATTCAACTTCCTCTACATAACAGGAGGAGATGATCTGAACCTACTAATCATAAATAACTATATTACACTCAAAAAGATGAAGAGACAGAAATAATAATGTAAAAATACATAATTGGCATCCTGTACATTGCATTACAAGGTTATGCTACTAATTGGCACCTGTAATGAATCATTCCAAACAAACTAACCTTCGTGATCCTTGTCGAGCTCGGTGAGCCATCGTTGTAGAATCACTGCCATTATTCTAAGAAGCAAACGGTAGTGAATCAGCCGATTTACAAAAGAGCAAGCAGGCAAATGTAAATACATGTCTTTGACCTCTAAATCAGGACATGTAAGGACTAGTCCCTAACTCTTTTAACTATATATAGTGTTTAACCAACAATAGTAGAGCAAGAAAAGTAGAGATACAATGACAGTTATGCATCGCCTACTGGTTGCCTCTTCCTTGGCAATATGAATCCATGAAAGAGAAGCCAGGAATACATGCCTCTACTTCAAAACTCTCTAAGTTATCTCTTTCGTTCAATGACTGCTTAAAATTATGAGGAATGTGATATAATGTAGGAGAAGCATTTAGTATGATTGAAGAATGCATATCCATCAATTGTGAGATGCCAGTAGCTTTCTCATTTGATCAACACATCAAATGGGACACTTTTAACAACTCGTCTATAAATTCACAAGGATCGATATAGAGAGAGCAAAAGTGAAGTTTATGACATAACTGGATCTTTCTTTTTCTACTTTGGTTGTGAGTCCGTCTGAAGAAATAAGGATACACATAGTTCAAGAGATGATTGATAGCAGTGGCGGACGCACGTCGTGGCAAGTCATCAAAAAATAATATTGTGTATATGTATAAATTAGGATTAAAGCTACGTAAATTTTGTATAAATATTTTATTTGAACCGCTTGAAAACTACTATTTTACGACTAAAGTTATGTACTTCTAAGATTGAACCCGCTTGTACAAAATCCTGGGTCCGCCACGGATTGATAACATGATGAGAAGAATGGAATTCATTTATATATATGCAAATTAATAGGTATTCTTAACAATATAGCAGATTTGAGAATGTAAGATGCAAAGTCTTAACATAATTGCTTGCCTCTGCAGTGGTGAGCCAGATTTTGAAGAGTTCCTCACTATCAGTGCGAAGGGAATGAGAGATGTTTCTAAAACCCAACATCTCCATTGTAGGCGCAGGCACTCCTACTGAGTTCTCCATCATATTTCTTATGAACAATTCTTCTTCGCTTGTATTTCTACACAAATCTGAATATCCTCTTCCCTCCATTTCCATTAATTCCTATCCTTTCTCTTCTCTCAATTTCTTTCTTGATACACAAGCAAACGAAAGAGAGAAACTCAGGTCTGCCGAAATGAAGATATAGTCTGAGTGAGTGTCTGAACCAGCTACTCTTTTGATGTACAAATTCACTCAGAGAAGCTCAAAATTTTAAATTCAAATCATGAAAATTCTAACCTATTTAACTCAACTCACATATCAGATTCATCACAAGGACAATTAATATTGTTTTCTTTTTTTTACTCAAGTAATAGATATAGATATATATGCTGCAGAATGATCAAATTTTTGTAGCAGTGGAAAGATGTTAGGACTAAAACATTTAACAACTTTAATTTGTAGCTAAAAAAGAAAGGAATTTGGTGTATAATAGAAACATCAAACGTCACATTTAAGCTCATCTCTTTCTTTCTGAGTCAGTAAAATTAATTGACAAACGTATAGTTGGCTTTATTAAAAAATTAATTTTGATGGAATTAACAAATATCCAATTTGATTAGATTCCAGTCCACCTTATACTTGTCTTCTTTCCCGTGTGAAAACAACAACTTTTTCCTAGGCTAATTTGTACCTGTCAATTAGTGAAACTAAAGTAAAAAATGAACAGAAAAGGAAGTATCTCAAGTAACCTTCATTCCTTCTTTTTTTTCTAGCTAGATAATCATTTAAGGACAAAATTGCCAGTTTTCAATAAAAAAAAATTGTAAATGATAACCAAAAAAAAAGTGAAGTCTATTCTGACATTAATGTTTCAACAACACAATACAATATAGTTTAAAACATTACATTATGAAACGATGAAAAAACAACAATCAAAACATACGTACTGTTAATTGTGTTTAATAATTAGGATGAAACTATATATATATATATATATATGTGGTGACAATTAATGAGCCCTTGTTATGGACAAAGAATAAGTGTATAAAACATGTAGCACATTTTATAAACAACTAGTAGTAGAATTTAATCCTTTGATGATCAAGAATTCAATCATATGACAAGAACTAAATACTACTCCTATATATTAACTGTTCTGATATCAAATTCCTCTCAGTTTGCCCATTTTCAAGAAAAGGGTTTAAGAAGTTTGTTAAAGGTTTTTACAATGATTTTATTTTCAGGCCTGCATGCATAATTGCATATGCATGAAGAAGATACAAGGATACACATGGTCCAGAGGGATTGAGAGAAAAAAAATAGAGTTTTAACTTTTATATACTTACAATGTATAATTTCAACACTATTAGATCACCTAAAAAATAACAACAGATAATGATATACAAAAAATGAAGTCAATAAATACGACAAGTTATTTACTATAACAAGTTAATATACATTACTAGTGTAACTCTTTACCCCGTTGGTGCGTTTATGTTTAAGATGGGAAAATATAGTGTATGTGCCTAAATTTGCGACGAAATTAATTATGTGGGAAGACGGTCAAGAGACTGACTGTGTAAACAATACATTTTAATGGAAAAGGGAAAAGAGCAAAATATGAATAGATTAATGGGTTTCAGACTCAGTTATTAAAGGACGTAGGGAATGATGAAAGCCATGAAAATGACTTAATTATAATGGCCCCCTGCTGGCTGTTTCATTTCATAATAAGTTAATTAAGCCACACAGTGGCTTTACCCTTTTAACTTTTTCTCAACGCAAGAAAAGGAAGGAAATGAAATGGATGGACTCTCCTCTCCGGATTTGGCTCCTCTCCCTAGCTCCTTTCCTTTCCTTAATTAACCTAAATAGCCCTTCATTCAATTGATTAAATTAAAAATAACTGGTACATATATAATATATGAATAATAGTGTACTATATATACCACCTAAGAAAAATATAACAATGAATTCGATCAATGTCTACCTTATAAGCGCATGCAGAATCATAAAAAATAGAATATTTCGATCAGAGCAATGAATTGAGGTTGCAATTAGCATTATATCATCATTTTCAATGGACTAGCACCCCTCGTAATTGGTGAGAAGGCCCTCATTTTCCTTCCCAAGTGGTGTGATTAGTTCAAGCACATGCGTTTATCAAAATGAAAATGCACAAGTAGTAATCCTTCAAGAAAGATTATGAGTTATAATGATCCATATAACAAAGAGAGATTTGCACAAAAGTAAAAGCCGCACACTACATTGCACCTATGTAGCCATGTTTTTAAGTGTACACTCGCATGGACTTTTTTTATAATGATCCATATAATAAAGAGAGATTTTCATAAGGAATTTTTACATTCTTATACACTACTTCAATCTTTATTACCCTCCCTATTCAAATTTTAATATAATTACATATTATATACCCAATTATCAATTATGTACATTTTACGCATTTTACGCATTAAATCTGTGAGTCCCAATAATACTGGCGCATAGCCTCAATCATGATTTTTAATATGCATTTCAGCTTAATTTCTCTAACTCATAAAACACATGAAAAATGCCAAGATCATTTAACTATAAAATTCCACAGAAATAATTATGTCATAATTTCTATAGTGCACGCCCACACGCCCGTCACCTAGCATGTGCGTCACCTCCCAACAATTCACAAAATATATATATTCACGATTCATACCCTCAACTCCAAGATTAGAAGAGTTACTTACCTCGAACATGCCAAATCCAATATCGAGCAAGCTAAGCAATGCTCGAGAAATTCCATTCTGCGCTTATCAACTTCCAAACGGCTTGAATCTAGTAACAATTAATTTGATTCAGCCCACAAAATTATAGGAATTAATTCCATATCAAAATACTAATATTTTTCAAAAAATCCGAAATTACGCCCCAAAAATTACCCGTGGGGCCCACGTCTCGAAATCTGACGAAACTCACAAAATACGATAACCCATCCAATTACAAGTTCAACCATACTAATTTCACTCAAATCCGACTCCAAATCGGTATTCAAACTTGAAAATTTTATTTTGTGACATTATAGAAATTTCCTTCTATTTCTCTTGAAGATTCAATAATCTTACACAAAAAATGAAGATTAATTCATGGAATATAATCACAAGGGAGTTAAGAACACTTATCCCAAGTTGTGTGAAAAATTTTCTCTCCAAAATCGCCCAAACCGAGCTCCAAAATGTCCAGAATGAGAAAATATCTCGGAACCCTCGTTTTAAACACTACACAGGCATTTCCGCACCTGCGGTGCCTAGGCTCGCACCGGCACATCCGCATTTACGGAACAAATTGCGCGCTTGCGGACAATGCCAACCTTTTAGAACCTCGCATCTGCGGCGCCCTTCTCGCATCTGCGGGATCGCAGATGCGCATTCCCCTTCGCACCTGCGGTCGCCTCGCGCCAGCCCAAGTTCGCATTTGCGCCAACACCTTCGCACCTGAGGCCTCGCAGATGCGGCAAATTCCTCGCACCTACGAGAACTGCCCAGTTCCACACTTGGACGCTTCTGCGACTGATCTCGCGCACATGCGGCTTCACACCTACAATAAAAATCTTCGCATGTGCGATCACACTAGTAAGTAGCAGTTGCAGTATTTCCTTAAGTCCAAATTTGATCCGTTAACCATACGAAATTCACCCGAGGCCCCCGGAACCTCAACCAATTGTATCAACAAGTTCCATAACATAACACGGACCTACTCGAGGTCTCTAATCACACCTAACAATATCAAAACGACGAATTACTCCTCAATTCAAAATCAACGAACTTGAACTTTCAAATTCTACATCTTGTGCCGAAACACATCAAATCAATTCGGAATGACTTTAAATTTTACGCACAAGTCACATTTCATATTACGGACCTATTCCAATTTCCAGAATCGGATTTCGACCTCGATATCAAAAAGTCAAACCCCGGGCAAACTTCCCAAAAATTCAACTTTGGCAATTTAAGCCAAATTCCACTACGGACCTCCAAATAATTTTTCGGACACGCTCCTAAGTCCAAAATCACCATATGGAGCTATTGGAATCATCAAAATTTGAATCTGAGATCGTTTACACATAAGTTCGCATCTGGTCACTATTTTAACTTAAATTTTAAACCTTAGAACTAAGTGTTCCAATTCATTCCAAAACTTCACTGGACCCGAACTAATTACCCCTGGCAATTCTCACAACAACTGTAAAGTATAATTTGAGAAGTAAATGGGGAAACGAGATTGTAATACTCAAAATGATCGTTCGGGTCGTTACACCATTGTTGAGTATGATTTGTAGAATAATGCCCTCCAGATATATTCTATCCAACTAGGGCTGTCCTATTAATTATTACTCCTACCTAAAGAAAGTGAAAAGCATAGGATATAATTCTTTGAAAATGGGTGTCCTTCTGATTTTGTATTTTGAATAGCAACTTCAACAAGTTCTTAATTGGATAATAATTAAATAGACTTGATGGACATGAAATCGAGTCTGATTCTCTTTTAAGGATTTAAATTAGAATTTTGGTTTTATCCTGAATCCTAATAAAAAGAACTTGTAAAAAGTTGTCCCCAAATATTAACCTAATCTTCCTGTTAATTATAGAGGAATTCTTACTAAGTTCCAACGTAAAACTGAAGGGTTAAAAAGAGAAGAAAAAGGATTAGAAGAAATAGCACAAAATTGTAAATACTATTAAGACATGGTTACGTGATCAACCAGATGAAAGAGTTGTCCACTAACTTGGTCACTAAATTGCTACAAGGGTGGAAGATCTGGAGAGAAAAGGAGAAAGAGGAGAGAAAAAAGGAAAAATGTATAACTAAATCCCTTGATTGAAGGCACTAATAATGGATTGAGAATCTTTTAAGGTGGAATATATATATTTTGTAAACAAAACTTGTTTAGGTCGGATAATTAACTAATATTTTTAATAATAAAATTTCAAATAGTGTATATGAATGTAAAAATTCCTTTGCACAAAAGTACAAGCGGCACACTACATTGCACCTATGTAGCCATGTTTTTAAGTGTACACTCGCATAGGCTTCTTTCTTTTCTTTTTTTTTTTTGCGACATAGATTGTTGTTTACTTTGCACGAATTCATACTCACGAAAAACATCACCAAGTAGCTCAAATTTTCACGAAATAGCTTTAAATTTCAACCACAACATCAAAATGATATCCCAACAAGCCTCAATCATCTATTTGTCAAATATTTCAACAAATCACAAAAATCCATTTATGAGTTTTCAAACTCTTAAAAATTCCAACAATGGAGTTTTTAACTTTTCACCTTAATTCACCCAACAATATTTAAATTCATGATTATTAACATGAATATCACTTTCAAATTATTTTCTAACACATATCTTCTTAATACCATGTTAATAGGTGAAAAGAAGTTTCAAATTATATACAAAATATGCTAATTAGATTTTTTGTTAAAAAGAAGAAGAATATAGGCTAAAATTGGTTGAGGAAGTACAAGTGAGGTACTTCCCCATAATTGTTTCTATAATAAATATGAACATTTATTTCATCAACATAAATAATATCCCAACCAAGAAAAAATAAAGTTTATATTCTTACTTTGTAATAGTCGTTTATCCAAAATTTACTTTGTTATTTTCCGAGTCACCTTGTTGAAGAAGACGTTATATACTTGTATCATGTCGCTGCTCAATAGAAAAATTATTTACCTAATCCACTTATTTTCTAGTGATTATAATGGACAAAGTTAAATTATTACTTTAATGGCCTCATGAGTAAGGCATAAGAATATTTTCAACATTTATATTTTTAACGGTCCAGAACAGAAATTTAATACCCATGAGTCCATGACTAGCAATTTGTCCTTTAAGAAAGAAGAAATACATAAAAGATGTTTGACTGGACGTCAGATATATGACTTTTGAAGGAATAATTGTAAATATTATTCTTATTAATGCTAGAGGAAACGTCCAAGAGTGCACTTTTGCAATGTTGTTAAATTAATAAGTAGTTGGACGTCCGAATCATTATGTAATACTAATTTTATATAAGAATGCTGTAATATTTGGTGCTGGAAATGAATATCTATAAGTCAGGGGAGACTAGTGTATTGTATCCACACAATAAAATAGGACCAGAGTAAAGTAGACATCCATTCACAATGAAAAGTTAATTCATTTATTTTTTCTTAATTAGAGTTCAACTTCAACGAACTTTAATAAGATTGAAATAACCAACAAGTTTCATAGTTAGAAATAATTAGAAAATATTTGGAAAAAGAATCAAAGAAAAAAGATATTTATAGTGACATATAAAAATGAAGAGAGTCATTATTAAGTCTAATACAATAGGTTAGCACTTAAATATTTTTTTAATAGTTATATAATGTTACACAACGTCATCGTACAAAAGGTGCACCAAATATTCTTATAGCAAGAGCTAGAGCTCCATACTTCATACGTCAGTGTTTAGCAAGTTAGCCTATTTTAATAAAGGGGCAAGAAGAATATGCCGAATCACTTGTGTAGTGTTTATAATTCCTTGATTTGTAACATTTTTTTGAGTCAAAGTTAATTGAATATACATTTAAAGATTAACCGGCAATAATGAATTGTTTAGTGTTCCTGTGGAATATCTCTCTCTTTTTTGTTTGGGTCAAATCCTGTGGAGTATCTTTTGGAAGGGCGGCAAGCTATTATTTCAGGGGAGAGGACTCCGAAAAAATCTCTTATGTAATAGTACAAGTACAACTATAGAAAACTAACATTAGCTCTAGTTTTAGCACTGCTCGATCTCTATGCCTTTAATCAGAGATCTCAGATTATGCGTTGTAAGGACGTTTTTACAAGCATCATTTGACTAGCATTGGAAGGGTGTTGACTGAGTAGCTTCTCCATGTGAGTTAGCTTTTCACTGTGGACACATTAAAACAAAATCATTTAGTTGATACTAGAAAATGACTTTGGAGTATGTTTGCATGCCTAGTGAGTGGTGACTAGATCTACAGAAAGAGAACAGTGTTGAATTCTCACTAATCATTTAAAGCTCGTCTCAATCCAATATTACAAAAACTACTTAGTTTTCTAGCACTAAAAGTTCGAGACCGAAAGACTCCTCCTAATAAATATTGGACCTATAGTAAACCTTCTAATAATGGAAGTCAAAACTTAATACACATCTTTTATCTCCTATTTTCCCCTAACTTTACAATTACCCTGAACATGTTTTCCAACCATATCAATCCCCAAAAAGGGTCTCTGAATATGTCTGAGGCCAGGAGTTTGATCCAGCACTCATCCTAAAACTTTATTCCTGTTATCTCTTCTGTTACTATTTTCCATATTGTTCTCTTTTGTGTTACAAGATACAAATGCCAGGATTAGACACTACACAAATAGACTGATTACCATCTTCAAGCGTGCTACTTTGAAGATAGAAATAACAACCTTGATTGTTGTTCTCCTGCTAACACTGACTTGCTCTGTTGATTTTAGAGTTGTACCTTCCTAAAATAACAGATGCAACTTACATCAAAGTTGACAACATGATATTTCATGAACAGGGGAAGGAGGACAATACGCACCATTCACACTTCGTAAGGCAATTAATATAAAAATAAGTACTACAGCATATAAGAAAGCAGAGGAAAGGAGACCGATCAACCAACTCTTGAACAGAATCCGTTCACAAATCAGAAAATACTAAGGCAATGGACTGATTAGAAACTTAAATTGCTCAGTCGAGTGCTATACTAGCACCAAAAACTGTAGCCTTGCATTTGCAAGAAAAGGGATGAATTAACTTCATGTGGTATTATGTACACTAGTATATAAAACTTCTAGAATCTGCAATTCATCACCTCTATACAGATTTTCCTAATTTATACAGATGCATCATATGCATATCTATGACGCTAAAATTTTGTGTTAATAAAATAATGGATCAAAGCAGACTTCACATAGCTGCATTTTCCTAATCTGCATTTCTCGGTTTGTGTGTATCATCCTTGCGCGGAGGTCATGCTAATGTTCTCTGTATCGTTCTAATTTTAACAGATCCCCAAAGGGATATTTGGAGCAAGAGCAGCGTGCAAAAACAATACACTGCACCTCTCCACTATTCAAATACTTCTACGAAGCTATTGAAGGGAATCCCTCTCTTGCACCTCCTTCAATTGCGTATTCAGTTTATCTGTATGATCATTTTGAAGATTATATTCTGTCAGTATCCTTTGTATAAAACCATCTGACATAACTCCAGCTTCTAGCATGTGGTTATACAAGGACACGGCATCCACTAATTTTCCAACCTTGCAGTAACCATGAATCAAAATCCCATATGTTACAACATCAGGTAATATATGAGTGCTTAACATAGAATTAAACACTAGAGATGCATCTTCAATCATCCCCCTTTTGCAAAGACCATCAATCAGGATGCTATAACTCACAATATTTGGAGATACATTATTCCTGAGCATCTCTTCGAGAAAGTCAAAAGCAGTTTCCATGCAAGAGGATTTATAGTAGCCATCAATCAAACAGCTGTACGTGACGACATTAGGAGATGGACCTTTCTCCAGCATTTCAGAGAATAGTGACATTGCATCATCCATTCTACCTTCTTTGCAGAATGCGTCAATCAAAATGGTCATGGAGATAGTGTTGTACCCAATTGGTTCGTGTTTCATCTCTTCATAAAGTTGAATGGCATTATTCAACATCTTCATGGAGCAGTAACCGCAGATCATAGTGTTGTATGTCACAATATCAGGCGGTGGCCCACACTCTAAGACCTCGTTGAACAGTACCAGAGCATTTTTTAACTGACTTTCCTTGAAAAATGCATTAATGAGAACATTGTACAAGGCTATATCAGGATTTATACCAGTCCTCGTCATCAGCTCAAAAACCTGCAGTCCAGCAGTTAGATTGTTCCATTTGCAAAGCCCATCGATGAGAATGCAATATGTAATAACATCAGGAAGAAAACCCTTTTTGAGCATCTGGAAGAAAAATGCAAGGGCTTCATCACATCTCCCTTGCTCACAGATGCCTTTGATAACTACTGTATGAGTAACTACATCGGGTAATATATTCCAAGCACCCATTTGCATGTATACGTTTACCATGTTATTAACTTGTCTCAATCTGCAAAATCCGTCAATTAATGTGTTAAAAATATAAATATTTGGACTTATACCACTTTTAATAGCTTGGTAAAAGAATCTCATGGCAGCACACATCCAGCCCTGTTTGCAAAGAGCATTTATAATCACATTGTAAACCACAACATCAGGAATGTTTCCCTTCATAAGCATCTCCTTGTACAAACCAAACCCATCTTTCAGCTTCCCAGCCTTGCAGAAACCATCTATAAGACTGTTGTACATCAATAGAGATGGTTCAATACCATGTTTCAACATTTGACAAAACATACCAAGAGCTTCAAGAAGCCGATCCTTTTGACATAAGCCATTCACAAGGATGCCATACGTAACTGTAGTTGGCAGGACTCTTTCCTTTAACATTCTCTTGAAAGTCTGAACACCTTTTGCTACTTCTCCATTTTGGATATATGCATCTATTATAGAACTTAAAATAACTGCATCTAACTTAATGCCTTTATCTAAAGCTGCTGAAAGTAGCTGACCTCCCTCCCCTAACTTCCCGGCCTTAAACAGACCATCAATCAGAATACTGTAAACAATTAGATCAGGATCTATACCCCTTGCTATCATAAGAACATAAAGCCTGAATGCCTCTTCTAATCTTCCCTCCTTACAGTAACTGTTTATTAATGTGCTAAACGTCACAACACTTGGCATTGGACCTTCCTCTAACATCAATAAGAAGAATTTAAACATATCATCTGTACACTTACTCTCGTAAAGACCCTTCAAAATCTTATTACATGCAACAATATCCAATGAAAACCCTCTCTTAATCAGTTCCTTATGGAAGTCTAAACTCAGTCGAACCTCACCAATCTTTACAAAACCATTCATCACGAAACTATACACGTCAACACCATGCGTCTGCTCTTTACTAAATCGACTTCTCATGATTCCATAAACATCCAAAACAAGATTAACACACCTCGAATCGACCAAACAACGTAGAAACCTCAACATTGCATATTGTGACAATGGAACACTCATTTCACACATTTGAAAAAACAACTCAACGGATACATCAATCTCCCCAATCCTACAATAATTCTCAAGAAAAAAGCTATAAACAGTACTCCTATTCGACTCGTAATTCCTAAACCCCTTCTCAAACACAGAAACACAATCAAAATACCCAAACTTCTCAACCATTTTACCAAAAACCCATCTTGCAGGATCAAACATACGCTTAAAGAGAAGCAAATGAGCAAGGCAAGCATAAGATTCAAGTGTGTGATTAAGCCCAATAACATTTTCAGACCACTCAAAGAACCTAATTGCCGAAAAGGGTTTTGAGCTAAGATTATAAAGAATTGGTTCAACATGAGTTGGTTGTAAATTGGACAGTGTACGAGGTTCAGGCAATTGAAAAATATCATCTTGGTGAAATGCTGAAGTAATTTGATTGATTAGGGGATTTGATTGAGAATATGTGCGATAAAAATAGAGTCTTGAAAAGGGTTTGAGAAGAAAAGGAGGTACCTTTGATGAAAGTGCCATGGGATTGAGTAAAATCCTGAATTTTTGCCATTTATTGGAGCTGAGATTTTTTCCCTTGGGGCGAAAGGAAGGGATGATATCTGAGCATTTAAAAGGGAGGTTTTCAGCTTCAAGTTCTTGTTATTGGGACATGGGGTTTTACTGGGGTTTTGGTAGGTTTCCCTTTTTTCGTTTTTTTCTTCTTTTTTGGGGGGTTTTTTGGTGTTTAAGTTTAGAGCCTCCAGTTGTCACTAATTTGCACTTCGGCCCCCTCGACGTCATGAATTATGATATTTTCTATTTTTCAATTTAATTATTAGTGGAGCACATCTACGATTTTCGAAAATTTACATCAGCTTATTGATAATTTTAGATGAGCTTCAATATATTACTATAATCATTTTTTTAATAGTAAATTTATAAATTATATAATTTGTAGGTAATGAAAATTGAAACAGTTCGTTCATATGTAAAGGAGCCCAAAGAAAGCTATAGAAGCGTTACTTTTTTGTTTTGATGAATTATAGGGCTAGAAGGGAATTTTATTTTATGAGTGAAATTATATTAATTTATCATAACTTAAGTTATAAATTGAAGTGAGGAGAATATGTATTAATTAATTATGAGTTAGTGATAGCAGTGCATATTAAGACACATAGTAAATATACAACAATTCTACTGGTATAAGATTTTGCAAGGGGTGAATATTAATAAAAGTTTGAACATGCGTGTATACACCAAAATAGAAGAGGAAACAAGGACAACAAATGAGTTTTTGAATAGGCGTAACCAAAGAAAGGCAGCTTTAGGAAGCACTAGGTGAGCAAGTATCGATGGTTTTCTTGATTTATTTGTAACTCCAATATTTTGGTTTTGAATGTACAACTGAACACAGTCATGAATTCATGATCAAGCAACAAATATTTGAGAAGACGCACTATCTCTCATCTTCATTAATTTTACTACTACATATTTAGGCAGGTTTAATGACGAAACAAAAAATGTAGCACGAGAGTTCCAGTTTCTGCATTAATCTTTACTCTCTGCCTCGTGCATGAGAATAAACAAGATAACAATATTGTGTCAAAAAATTCTGCCAGAATCAAAGAGCTAAACATTTTCACAGAGGAAATTGCAGCAGATTAGAAGAGCAGAAATGAGTTTGAGAAATACATTAAATGCCATTACAATAGTATTAAACCCTCCTCCATCACCACCCAACTCTTGCAAAAATAAACAAAAAGGAGGAAGAAGGGGAAAAAAACTATGAAACAAACTAGTCACTAAGCAGAAATTGAAGGGTATAACAAATGCCAAGCATGGCTTTAATATCAAGCTCAGTGCAATTCATTCCAGCCATAGCTTCAAATCCAAAGTTATTGAATGGTCGCAATGCCACTGCTAGCAAGTTATACAACAAAGAATATCCAAGATGATGAGAATAATGCTGCATGTTCGGGTATGCCCTCTTAGCTAAGAGCCACCATCCCTGATAAAACATGTGCATCAGTTAAAAGGTAATAACTCTGAAAAATCATTTCAGCAAATAAGCAGATTGCGACTTTCAAAAAAGGAAAGGGGAAGCAAATAAGGAGATTGCCAATGCAGGTATCATTTTGATCACACAACCGCGTAATACACGCACATCTTTGTTTTGATGGGTAAAATTGTGAAACTAATTATGTTCCCTGGCCAATGTATCCATGTGTCATATCAGAATTCAGATGCAACTCCATTTCTGCGTCTAACCAACACATCAAATAATCATTACTTCAAAATTCTCAATTTTCTTAGTATTGCAGACCAGCTTTAATAATTGATCAGAACAAGATCATACAAGTGACTAGTTTAAACCAACAAAAGAGTTACTCCTTTGTCCGAGACTCCGAGCTTATCAGTACTGCCTGCCTCTTTTATCACCCCATATTAGGTTGTTGCTATCCTGGAACCAGATGCAAATCTTCGCAACATATATTCCATTTACCTATACTGAAAAGGTGGCGATAGAATTTCAAAATCATCAAAAAGATCAAACTTCACTCCTTATTTTTCTGGGGATAAATTTTCCCCCTCTTTTTGGTTTTAGCCACAATGTGTGTCACCAGGCAAATAAGGAGCACTACATATTAAGAGGAACGAACATCAAACTATGAAAAGATGGGTATAAGATGCTTCAAGTTGCAGCACGCTGAATTTCTCGATGCTTCCTTTATCAGTATTCTTGAGTTACTTCAAAAACTTAACGAAATGAATCCTGTTGCCCCATATACCTTTACTTAAAGGACCTCAGGAACTTAGTTTTCGCTATATCAGAATAAGTACATCCATGTTCTGCTGTGCAACTACATGCCCCTACATCAACCCAAAAAGTACACAATCAACCACACATAATAGAGGTTAAAGTTCTGTAGGTGCACTGCTTAGGGACAACAGCCAATTTGCTATGTCATAACTAAATGTTGCATGCAGTGAATGCTGGTGCACAGTGTGGTCAGTCTACCTCTTTCCAGAATCAATCCCATAAAACAGAGTAGCCTTTTTCACTTCCAAATCCATTCATCTTTTCTTTCTAGAAAGTCCAAAATCCCATCATTAGATATCAATTCACATAAAACCATTTCAAACGAAGTTTAATTCCAAAAAGAAATTTGGGGGATTAAATGGTCAATCTCACTCAGATCAAACAACAGCTCTAATGGCCAGTCAAATGGCTAACAATGTTAATGAGATCAATGGAGTCTTTGCTGAAATTAGAATCAACAGGATTTCAATTCGCTTTTAATGGAAGAAAATTTTGAGTTCTCTAGATCAAAAAGAGAAAACATTATGTTTGCTTCATCATGGTCAGGGGTTGGACTAAGGGATTGAGCAAGTAAAGGTTCTGAACTAACATCAACCCTTCTTTAATATTTTCTCCCTTTTTCGACTTTTTCTACTTCCTTTTCTATTTTTTGGTTTTCCCCATTCTCCCAGACACAGTTGCTTCTAAAATAAAAATTCAAGGCATACTGTACAACATCATCTTCTTGATCCTTGCATGAGTCCCAAGAATATTTTCTACCTTCAACATCAGATTCAATTAAAACATCTGCTAATTTACAGAACTCCTTAGGACTTTTTCAACAACAAACAATATCCATTCAATAGACATATAACAAATAAAGTCTGCATCAAAAGTTTAATCAACCCTTGCAAAAGGCATAGATTTTTTTCTTTAAGTCATTCTTAGATTGAAAAAGAACAAGCAAAAGATCAGCCTAGCTGCATATACTAATAGTAGGCTGTCCAACTTTTTTTAATCAGGAAAAGTAGGCTCTCCACTTACAAGTATCACCATCAGTTAAGATGCATAAATATACTAATTCTCTTTCTTTCCTTCAGTATAAATTTAATCCACTTTCCCAAGTCTACAGGAAAACACCAGCTGGCTGATTTTCGTCACAAACTTTACACGTTGATATTTCTTTACCATCTAGTTCAAATCTAATACTTGGTAAATGGTAATGGAATAATTACTTTTTTCTATTAATTACCTTATTTTGGCGATTGTAAAATATTCCTTTTTTAGATTTTTCTTAGTCTATTATTCCTTGGAAAAATACAAAAGAGTAGATCACTGCACAGATTTTGCAGTATTAGCTTTTTTTCTTCTTCTTTTTTCCTCACATTTTATTTGCTAATTCTAATATGCACCCCATTTATAAGCTTCTTATTATAAGGATGAGCAACATACAAAACTCTTCCCCCTTAAGCTACTTTTTTATGTTTTTGCCTATTTAAACATCTAAATCTTGCCAAACTGTGGTTTCTCAATCAATCTGCTACATGTCAACAGAAAATGCCTCAAACACACTCTATCCTGTATTGGATTTTACTGCGAGGAACAGACGTTGCCCATCAAGCAAATTGTTAAAGCTAGTTACCTGTATAAGTAAATAGTACTCATTATAACTTTTATTTTTTAAAAAAAAAAAAGGTAAACACAGATTCCTAACAAGAGCCGTACTCAATCCAATCATTTCTTTGATGTAACCTGACTCAAATATAATGACAATCAGCTCTTAGGAGTTGACTGCAAGGTAGCTATGATCAAATTCTGTGACTCCACTCATAAGCTATCAAGAAGATGGAACATAGACAGAAAATAGGGGAGGTACCTGTTGCACCAGCTAATATATTTCATCATCAGGGATTTCTGGGTTCAAAAATTTCTTAGGATCTTTGCTGATTTCCTGATAATTCAATGTAGACTTAACCCTTTCAGGAACTGGTTCAAGTGGAATGATGCTATCTCTATCAATAACACCATCAATTAGCCCATATTCTACAGCTTCAATAGGAGACATGTAACGGTCTCTATCAATATCTTTCTGAACTTGTTCATATGATCGACCAGTGCAATTGGAAATGATTTTGGTGACATTGTCCTTGTTATGCATTATTTCTCGGGCTTGAATTTCCACATCTATTGCTTGACCGCTTGCACCCCCAAGTGGTTGATGTATCATAATTCGAGCATTAGGCATTGCAAAGCGCTTTCCTTTGGTACCACCACCAAGGATTATTGAAGCTGTGGAAGCTGCAATGCCAAGTGCAACTGTGGATACATCGGCCCTCACCAACTTCACAACGTCAAAGATAGCCATTGTTGCGCTGGTAAACAAACATAGGCACATCAGAAGAGAGAAAGAGTGAAAATATTTCTACGGAAAATTCGACATATTTTACAAACAAAACACCATGAACATGTGGAAACAAGCTAAGCTAAACATGTGCCGCAGAAAAGAGTGAAATTTGCAAATTGAAAATCTAAATTTTGATGCATGGGCTTAAAGAATATATAACACGTTCAAAAACAGCTTTCAGCATTGAAGATTCAGAATGTTGGACCTGAATCTGAAATACAGCGAGTGGAGAACTAATTGTTTGTATGCAGTAACAAATAAACTCTCAGTTATCAACTAAAATGAACAGTCAAACTCCAAAGAGGACAAATGAACTTCACATAATGGGGGAGCCAGTGTAGTAAATAGCGAGCGCTACGTCGCTGATAGCGTGTGGCGACGCGAGGCGAGGCAGCTATGGTTTTTTGGTCTGTTGCGTTGCGAATCAGAAAAGGCGAGCGCCTCTGCCTGTGTAGCGAGAGGCGCTGCGA